ACACACACACACACACACACACACACACACACACACACACACACACACACTCCAAAAAACAAAAAAACAACACCCAGAACATGAGTACATTCATGGCTCAGTACATTTTCATTACAGCAGATGAAACTAAACAAAAAATATACTTTGAAACTTTAACCTTTTGTTCAAGTTTTGCATACTGGGTTTAGTAAATGAAACTAATATGATTGCAACATATTTGTATGTATGTTTGTAAAAAATATTGTGTTAACAATTAAACGCTAGTGGTGCCACTTGAGTTTGAATATTTGTACAAAGCACAGTTGGTCTTTTTGTCCACACTGAGGAAACAGTGATTGTCACTAGATAAAAGCAATGTTGGTCTTTACATTCAGTGTGACCTTTAGGATTTGGAATTGATAATTGGTTTTGGATGGTTACCAAATTGTCTAGATCATTTGAATCATGTGTATCTGAACCTATGAATTTCCGTTATCTGTGCTATGTGCTATTATGTTTTCTCACAGTTAACACAGGGGCCTTTGTACTTCGGAATCACATGTGAGGCTTTTTGAACTCCTTATTCTATACTATGTTTATATTTATTGATAATAAATCCACATTGATTTAGAAAATGTAGAAAACTTCATATTCCTATTTTTTTTTTCTCCAAAAGTTGATTAGGAATATACAAAGTGAAATGATCGTACCCCTAACCAGAACCTGTATTGGCAGTGATATTGTAATTTTATCAAGATCCATCCTTAGTGAGCCCCACAATGTGAACAGGGAAGTTGCAGATTCCAGCGGTAGAGTAAGTTAAATTAAAAACTCAGCGGGTTGTGTGAGTTATCAGATAAAGTACACGTATAATGCCTTACCTGCTTTCAAGGTGCACTGCTGTGCTTTTCCCAGTGGCTCTCAGCCTGGAATTTTTGTTCCGGGAATCTAAGTGTGTAGACATAAGTGCAAATTTCTCACAGTGGTTTTTGTCACGGGGCAATATCGAACTGAGCACTGTGTACTGATGGGTTGAGGGCAAGTACCATTACACTCCTAGTGCCAAAATACGCAAGTCTCATCAGGACAGATTGTGATGAGGTTTTATCTGAAACATTGTAAAAATAAAAGTCCCGCCTGCTAGAAATTCAACATAAAGGTTATATTGACTTTTCCTCTGCATACTGTCCAGCATGTCCACTATCTTGTCTCAGCAATGCCCCTTTATTCTGGATGATCAGTTATGCCCATTATGAGTCAGTTGACACCAGACAGCTGACTCCACTACTGACTTCAGAGCTTGATCATAAAGAAGAATGTCTCTTATATTGCTTAAGACCTCTCACATGACTACATCTTTCTCTGCTCTTTGCACATGTATTTCAATTTACACTGTGTAAGCACAGGCGGAGGTTGAGGTATGTTAGAAACACTCCAAGGAGTCTTATCCTCTGTTCTTGTTGATTTATGGCAAACATCAGTCACATGAGAACTTGACTCTTGCTTGTTGCCACTGTAAAATGACATTTTACTGTAGAAAACCTTTTTTTAAAAAAACAAAACAAAAACAAACTTGTTCCAAATCAAAAGCCACAATATATAATTTATTATTAAAGTGAACATAATTTAATGATTTATGACTGACATTATGTGGAGGGGAAAAAAAAACATTTACTTTATTTAAAAATAATGATGTTCTGTGTCAACTACATGTCCAAGTAAAAGCAAATAAACACGACCTATCAAATAGGGAGTTCATAGGAAGCAACAGACTATATCTTACCCAAATAGCTGAATTCAGTTTTCAGTGGAAAGTTAGGCAGCTGATGTTGGCTGCGTTTTACATATTGTTTGACAATAATCAGGATGACAATTTCCGAGAGGTTGGAGAAAAAGAAAATTGTTATCTTTTCTCTAGCCCTGTTTTTTTTTTTTTTTTTTTTAAGTGTTCTTATTTTTGTGCTGTTTGTGTTTTATTTGTAGACGGTTTGTCCCTAAGTCATGGCGGACAGGAGAGCGGAGAAGTCATGTGAAGAAGCCAGTAGATCGTTAGCCAGGCGGGAGTACGAGGCGGCAGTCAGCCATAGCACGGATGCCCTGGTGGTCCTTGCACCCCAACCCCCATCCTCCAGCAACCCCATCCCGCTGAGCCCTCCATCTCTTGTCGCCGCCGCCGGACCCCTCCGCAGCCGTGCCCTGCTCTACCGAATTGCTGCCTTCTTGCAGCTGGTGAGGACACGGCTGATTTTTACAACTATTTAAAATCCCCCAAAATCACAATGTAGAGACAGAACTCATTAACAATAATAATGTGAAATATAAAACTATCATCTAATACTCATCTCGAAATTATTACATTACATTGAAATAACTGACCATTGTCCTTTGAATCAACCTTTGTAAAATGAAGAGAAGATTAAAAATGAGAAAACAGAAGTTTCTTCCAGGGTACTGTTAGGTCATCTTTGCTGAAGACTAAAATTAGACCTGTTGCTTGAGGCTGAAGATTATGGAAACTACTTAAGTATTATAAGTCTGATAATGTGAGGAAGTATCACCAAGTATTCTCATTTGTAAAGGTCATAAATTTTCTCCCCCATTTCTGCCAACAGAAAAATTATGATGAAGCAGATGAAGACTGCAAACATGGTGAGTGTCAACTCAAATTGAAAACAGTGCTGATACTGTAAGTTAGTGTAGTGTAATAGGTAATTTTGTACCCGTGGTAGAAGTTTCACCATGTCCTGACATGTTAATTTTGCATCTACTGTAAGTGTTATAGCTGAAAAACGGAAGAAAATAAATGTTTAGGTCAGCACTCAGGTGATGCCTGGGGTCAAATATAGTGTCCCAGTGTTGCCAAGTGAGTCGTTTACTGCAGTAAACCCGGACTGCTGAAGCTTGCGTCATAGAAAAGTATATGGTACAATTTAGCCTCTTTCAGCCTGTATGAAAATACAAGCCCTGATAATCCTAAAATGTCATGTTTTCATTGAACTTTTCAGAAAATCAAATCAGTATCTTTCACTCTTTTTCTAGAGAGCAGGCATGCAGACTTATCACATACAGAACATTGAAAAATATCTAACTGACTGAACTGAATTTATTCTTTCTATACCCACTCCTCTTTCCTCTTTATCTTGTGATAGTCCTGGCAGAAGAAATTGCCAGGGGAGATGGTTCACTACAGGCGAACTTGCGCTCCATGCTGTTGGATGGCAGCCTGCAGGAGGTGGCCAGCATCCTGTCTAAAGCCTTGTATGGAGAGCCAATGGTATGATTAATGTACAATCTATAAATCGCATTCAAAAGTACTGTCAGACTACACATTGGCAGCTGGAAGGGTATTTAAAGTGCAATGCCTACCATTGCCAATGTTCTACAGTTTTATAATAATAATAATAATAATAATAATAATAATTATTCAGGCAATGTTTTTATTATGATTTTTGAAGCAGCTGTCAAAAGTTAGATGGTTTTGGTTTCCACTGGCCATTGTTAGATCATACATTGTTTAATTTTTTTTCTCAACAAATTACTTGTATGTTAGTACAGATTTTAAACTTGAATATTCATTTAGATCTGATGTGGGATTTTAAATGTTACCCTATATTTTAGATTAGAAATTTCCTATTCCCTTTCTATGTATAATGAAATTCTGAGGAGTTGTTGGTCCCTATAGAGCAGTGTTAAGCAGAAAGGCAGTTAAACTGTAAAATTACACAATATTACAAAGATGAAATAAAGATCAATGAAATATTTTGCTCATTATGGATATTAAAACCTTTTGGGTGAAAAATAGACAAAAATGCACTTCTAATCACCACTTATTTAGCAGATATTTTCTGAGACTTTCAGGAAAATCTTCATATAGCGGTGGATAAAGTCACTACCAGGAAGTGCAAATAAGCGATGAATCAAACAAGAGTTTTATTTGGCAAATAATTCACTAAGAAAGTGAATTGCTAAGTACCCTAGCTGTAAGGCAGCCATAAATGCATGAGCCAAAGGCTTTTTTGTGTTTTTCGATACTATAATTTGTGACTTGTTGCCAGCAAACTCCAGGTTACATCGCACATACATTTCACATTCCACTGATCTAATATGGAAACCTTTGTAGTGCATACTGTAATGATGATGAAGATCAATTTTGCATGTTATTGTTTAAAAATGACTACTAATAAAAAGGACTAAAGTAGTTGTTTTCTTTCTCAACAGAATGGTATTGTTGCAAAAGACCTGAGCAGATTAAAAATGCTCTTCTCTGAAATAGAGGTACGTGCCTATTGTTTGTCATGCTCCTTTGTTCCAGTCATGTGGTGTTTGGTTTTACAGGGAATTCTTCAATGCTTGTAGATGGAAATAATTAAGATTTGGTTATAGCCAAAGTATCTGTTCTTTATTTGTTCCCGTGCAATATGTTTAATTCCTAAGCTGATTGCATGGAGCTCGAGCTGTTTTTACACATGAACAGAGGATAACCTCAGGAAAGTCAGATTGGAACATTGTCCAAAGTTGCCAATGCAAATGTGCACCTCCATTGGGTAGTGCCTGGAAAAGTTAAGGGCATGCATGTATCTCAAGTTACTAGTTGACATATTAGAAATAATCTACGCACCACCTCCAAGCTCCTCATTCTGCCCCCCTCTCTGTCAGGCTGTAAAAGGAGAGATGGCACCAGAATACACAGATGACCAGGATGAAGGTAAGCAAATGTGTACCATGACAAAAAAAATCACATTAATGTTGTTTTGTTTTTTCCCCTCTGCTTATCTTGACTGGTGGTGTAATATGATTATAAGCTTCTGGCTGAAACGGACCTGTGTGTCACTGTAAATGCCTGAGTGTGTTTTTAAGGATGAAAATACTGTATGGAAAATATGAACGCACATCTTCATTTAGATTATGAAATTCCAGCTCCGATTATGCTTGAGTTTAAAGGCAGATCTTCTTCACAGTTTTAAGTATTTAGGCTGTGATTTGTAGCTGTCCGTCTCTCTCATACATACTGAAGGACAACAGACAAACTTAAAAAAAAAACAATGCACTGACAGTGTTTAAAATTAAACATAAATGTGTCTTAATAGAAGACCAGCTTGTTTTTAAAAATTGAAAATTTTAAAAGCTAAGCTGCAACAGCCAACAAGGCGATGTCCAGCAGTAGCAACAATCCCAGCATAGTTTCTCTAGAAATTGTATAATCTAGTTAGCATTAATGGTTAATGGTTACACTTTTCTCAGTCTTACATTGACCACCCTGCTCATATATTGACAGAGGTCCAAGATGGCTGGCGGTTCCGACCACCTCCAAGAGGAGTCACGAGCAGTGAGGAGTACACCCTTTGTAAAAGGTAATACAAATTGTGTGGTTATTTGTAAGAAGTGAGGAATATCTGTAAATTTGTATATCTTTTGATGTGTTACTGGGGTTATAAAAGCAATTTATGATTGGTAGGGCATAATTGGGAAGGAAAAGTGCTGACTATTAGTTACTAAATAGTGGAAACGAGGTGAGATTATATAAGCGTATGCTTCTTCCTACTCCTTTTTGAGCGTCAGTTGTAAGTTATTTATAATTATTACTGTTTTGTTCTACTTTTGTTTTGCTTTCTTTTTTCTCTTTATTGTTATACTATTTTAACATGTTCAAAATAAAGATACAGTACAAATACAAATGTATCTCACACTAAATGTTGCAAGGAAAAATATGCCATGACTTACGCTTATTTTTATGCAACTAACGGGCATTTGATGTCATCACAATGAGACTTCAGAATTTGTGATTGTAGTTAGTTCTGTGAATTTTCATTTTCATTTTTGAACTCTTTACACCAAAGGGGTCTCCTTTACAAACAATAATATATTTTAGATTTTTGTGGTTGATAATGGTTTGTATAAAATTAACCAAAATTGTACATTGAAGTACAGGAGGGGTGGGATGAGATGGGATGTGCATTTTTGAGTCTGCACAACTTAAAAGGTAGAGGAGATGGGCACATGAAATTTTTAACTACATTGTGTCACAGTCAATGTACCAACTATTTTTAAATGTTATACTTTTAAACAACCAGCATCACAAAACACGACGAGAAAGCATAATATAAATTAGGAACAAGAACCGTTGAGTATTCTGAAACATTTTATGAAGTAAAACAGTTGCTTGAACTAACATGGAACCACCTGAGCATACTTTTTATTTCCCTTTAGGTACTTGGAGCAGGGCCTGTGTCGGTATGGGGCCCAGTGTACATCAGCTCATTCGCAGGAGGAGCTTATGGAGTGGCAGAAGCGCTATGCTTCACGCCTCATCCGCCTCAAACAACAGCAGGAGAGTAAACACTTCACCGAAAACTACATGGAGACCTTAATAGAGAAGTGGATGAACTCCCTTTCTCCAGAGAAAGTGGTAAGTGACATTGTAGTTTATGCAAACTCAAAAGTGGCACAGTGAGATAAAAGTGAAAACACTGTGCGAACATGAATGTGTTCACTGCTATTTGAAACCATTCTAACATGCGTTCTGATTAAAAGCCTCTGCAATTTCTATATATATCTACTATATAAATCTCTCAAATTTACTACACATTTCCAGCATAGGTCCTTATTTACATATGCATCCACACAAAAGCTTTGAATATCCTAAAGGAGGTTTTTTGTTTTGTTTTGTTTTGGTTTGGTTTTTTTGCCCCCATAGGGTATAAACACAGCTATTAACAGATATGTGACCCTCTAGTTCACTTCTTAAGTCTGTTTTATTACGGAAAACACTGAAATACTTCCACTACATTTAAGATATTTTAGAAGAACAATGCATCAAAGATTATGTTTTCTTTATGGTTGTCAGTGTTGAGGACATACTCACAAGCCTTTAATATTATTTGGCACTCTGTATCTAGCTCTTAATTAATGTGTGCTTACGGTCACGGATACCTAACTTTTGCGTTCATTAATATTTGATGCGTAAATTAACTTGGCTTGCAAAAATATTGGCTAACCGTTGACCTGTAAATGGTTTATGAATAAATAAGCTGTGATGGTATGTAACTAACCATGGTATTTTATTTCTTCTAGCTAAGTGACTGTTTAGAAGGAGTGAATGTAGAGACCACCTCTAGCCTCTCTGTCACCGTCACCACCAAAAAATCCTCCCACTCCTGGGTCTTCTCCTTGTTGTGCAAGGTAGGATGAAGCATTGAGTGTTGTCTGACCTGATCATTTGTCATTGTGGAGGAACATGAGGGCTGTATGTGGTGATGTGTTAAGCACAATGTTAAGTTGCATTTTGTTTATTTATCAACATTAATTCATTTTTAGCTAATGTGACAGTTCTTCCACCATTTGATGTCATTAACAGTTGCACTGGTTACTCTCTGCTCTTTTTCACTCTGTGTGTGTTTAAAAGGACAAAAGAATCACGTTGTGTTGTTACAATTATCCCAAAACCCATAGTCTGTGCTCCTTGGATACTTGGTATATTAACCATCTGTTAATTTTGTGAAGGTCCTGATTATCTTCCCATTGCTCTGTACAGCCGCCTAGAAAGCTGTACCGGATTGCTCTCCTCTATGATGCCCACCGACCACACTTCTTCATCACAGGCGTGTCAGCTGGAGAGCGGCTCCAAGGTGTTCCCAAAGGCTGCCAAGAGTGGACTCCAGGGGAGGAGACAGCAGGTGGGTCATAACTTTTTCTGCATGCTATGGTCAAACACGAGATATCAGGGGATTTTTATTTTCAAATGTATTTTTCCAGCTTCATAAGGTTTCTGATTCCATTTTGTCTGTATAAATTATATGTGTCACACTTGCATGTTTCATATAATCAAAAAATGTTAATGTTAGACAAGGATAACCCAAGTAAATACAAAATGTTGATTTTTTTTTTCTTTTCTTTTTAAATGATGATTTTAATTATTTTAAATGATGATTTCAATTATTAAGGTAAAAATGGCCAGCCAAACTCACCTGGTTCTGTGTGGAAAAGTTCCAAGGCGAAAATCACTGCTGACCAACCCCCCACCCCCATTGCGTTTTTTCCCCCACTCCCTCCTCTCACCAAACCACCAATATAATTTCCTCAGTCGCCTCTTCCCCCTCCTCTACTACCAGTTGCTTTATCTATGACTTTCCAACAGTCTCGAGTCATGTCGACTGAATCCAGGGAAAAGGGCAAAAAAAACAATGTTGTGGGTTTTTAAAAATTTTTTTCTCCTGTTGTTGTTTTTAAAAAATATATTTTCCCCATTGACGTGTTTCAAAAAAGCTGCTTTTAATTTTCGTGAACGATGCAGTCTCATGAATCGCCAAGTGACACCACTGACCAGCCATTCAGTGGGATGCAGACTTTTGACATCACATTTTTGGATTGTCTTGGATAAATCCAATCTTGGCTATTAGGTGAGAAGGTAGTGCAGGGGGATCCCTTAGTGGTTTTATGGTGATTGGACTATCTGACTTGAAGACTATAATTTATGCGTCTGCAGAACAGTGTCTCCAGTGGTGTGCAGCTCAACAGTAAGTTGGACTGGAAGAGCTACATGGAGGCAGTGTACAGTAATCAGGGACAAAGATGGCTTTATTCCCTAAAGATGCTAAGGGCATTCAACATCTGCCAGCCCTTCCTGCGCAGTATCTACTCTACAGTGGTGGCTAGTGCTCTGTTTTTTTGATGCGGTCTGCTGGGGAGCACAGTTGACAAACTTATGAAGAAGGGTGACTCTATGGTTGGGTGTAAACTTTAGGCAGTCCAGCAGGTGGTGGAGAGAAAAAGACCTTTGAAGTTGGAATCAGTTAAGATCAAGCCTGCACACTTACTCCGTGCCCTGGAGGTTATCAATAGTAGAACCTTCAAAAATTGACTGCACGTAAATGCAAGTCTGAGCACCTCAGGAGGTCCTATATCCTCCTGAGACCCAGGATAGCTGGGTGAAGCTGCTATGGGTGATAGCTGCTATGAAGCAGTTTGATGCATAATGGTGATATGATTTTTATCCATGTTTGCATATTTGCACATTACTTATTGGCTGTTTTATTTATTTGTATAATGTCAACTTTTAGGAATTATTACTATTGTTTTGCTGTTTGTGATTTGTGGTCTTATGGCTGTGTTGAAGCTGCCATGGCAATGTAATTTCTTGTAAAGGATTAATGAAGGATCTTTGAGTGGGCCAGAATTCCTCCAGTGTGATGTAAAAGACTCATTTGCAGTTACCGCAAGAGCTTGATTGCCAACAGCCAGTTATTAGCTTTAGATCCCAATTACTTTTCCACATAGTCATTAATTGCATTTTTTTTGGATGCAATACAAAATTTGTTTAGTCTGAAACATCTGACAAATATGCAAAAATAGAAGGATAAGGAAGGGGGCAAATACTAGCACTGTACATACATTAGTCAATGCCTTATGTGACAGAGCTACCACAAGACTTTCATATTATATAAACTTATTAGTCCTTTTATAGGTATTGACAAGCTTAAACATGGAGAAGTCGAAAAAAGTTTCATTTAGATTTTCTAATATTTCAAAACATCTAAATTAACAAGCAAAAATCATTTAATTTATCTTTGTTTATTTTTATTGACTTCTAAACTTGAATATGCCAAACTGTCTGTTCTTTTAATTATTGTGGTTTAGTAACAGTGCAAATGGACAAATAGTGCAGTTCTTAATCAGAAGAGTACATGTACAAGAAATTGTAAACATAGTTCCCAGCATTGCTAAGGGGGAAAATTCCATTAGCTGACTAGCCAGGTTGCACCCCTAGGTCTGTATGGCTCTGATGAGTTGTTTTTTGTGTTTGTTTGTTGTTGTTTTTTTTCATAGACCAGAGGCTTGCTAGCTGACAACCTCGGGTAAAATTGTGTGTATTGTGTGGGGGATATCTTTGACAATGAAGATTCAAATCTTCAAATTATTCTAAAAGTCTGGTTGTTCTTGTTAGTGTGATCACTTTGCTGTGTTGGTGTACTCCTTGGATTCTCGGTCTGCCTTCTTAGGCAACTTTTACCATGCTGTTCTACTTATGTAGTTGTTGTGGGGGCTTTGACCTCCAAAAATATCTATATTTTAAAACATTGGTAGAGACTGTATATCAGTGGTGCATAAATATGTATTCCTTGTATTAAATGTATATTCTATTGTATATATTAAATTTATGTGGTTAGCTCTTTCTTTTTACAGCACAGTGGAGTGCTAGTTCAAATGTACTTAAAAGTTTGCTCTTCTCACAGTGGCAGCAGACAATGGCCTGGACCACTGTGTCTACAAGGTCGCAGTGGGTTTCAGCACAGAGATCTTTGGTACCTTCCGACAGACCATTGTTTTTGACTTTGGTTCAGAACCTGTGCTAATGCAGCGGATCATGGTGGATGCTGCCTCTATTGAAGGTATGCTTTAAAATGAGCATCAATGCATAGAAAAGTCTGTT